AGTTAGATAAAAGCAGCCGTGGCATTTCTTACACTGTTGAAAGTGGCTTCTTTGGTTTTGCATATTAATAAGCTCTTGCATTTACATACAGCTTCTAAAAGTACAAACAAGAATTCGGAAATCGTAAAATTCCAATCAACATCGAATAAGATCAGAGTGAAAACTCGTTCCACCGAAAGGTGACAGTTGCGGTTTAAGTGAAATTTTTAGAAGCACTGATTTTGTTGTTCCGATGCCGCTTCTTCAATTTCTAACTGAGATGGGCCTTGTTGAAACTGTGCTGCATAACACTGAAAGTTTTATTGTTTACACTGCATATGTAGTTTCCCCCCAATTTCTTTAGACAAGTCATGCAATACTGATGCTTTTTCACTAAATTGGAGAACTCAAAGACTGACAAACGTACCATCAAATGCTTGTTGCCGCTTTTGTTTCCTTGGGTATAGTCTCCACATATGTTGAAAAACAATTCGCAGTAGAGACCAAAGCGGAAAGAGAAGCCACTTTCATTCACTCCGGCTGCTTGGAGGTAAATAGCGTTCCCCATATCCCCCCAGGCTAGCCAATAAGCGCATGCGAAAAGCACTATTCACTAATGTGGTATATAACATTATACGATACCTCCTCTTAACCCAATGACAGTTTCTCGCGGTTTTTTAAAATCATTTTGGCTCCTAAAACTGAAAAGAAACTTTTAAAGAGACTAAATTACTGATAGACTTAGACAGGATGATATGGTGCAAATATTGCCTCATCGTCAAGTACGTTTTACTTCGAAATTTTCCATTAGCAGTAGTAGGGACTGATAAACAACAGGTCACAGGCACGCCCACCAAACCACTCTGCACAGAATGAAAGATCATTAAATATTTAAAGAAAACCCTTGTTAGAAACAGCTTTTCTACCTCATTTTTCGAACTTACATAAAAAAAATACCATGGTGTATATTCCTGATAGCTGCAAAGCTTTCCGATCGGAAAAACGCGTAAAATTCAATGAAACGGTTTTCTTCTTTCCATTTGAGGTAAAACAAATATTGGATATATATCAATTATTTTGCGTGAATTATGTATGATGCGAAGTCATTTACTGAAAATAAAGCTCATCTGTCAATAAATTCTATTTCAAGGTATAACTTAATTTCAAACAGCACGCTAAAGTTCATGTGTGCACTCCTTTACGTTCTAAAACGCATAATTATATAATTTCCCAGTCAACGCGTCATGCTGAGTCCCGTTTTTTGCTCGAGCATTTCGAAAACTTAAGGCTAGCAACTAACAACTGAGCTGAAAACGTAAATTGGCCACCGTAACGAGTAAAAAGCTGAAAAATGGTATCTGTAATGCACAGAATCAACATATAAGAAAATAGACGAGGTGGCCGAGTGGTTAAGGCGTTGGACTGCTAATCCAATGTGCTCTGCACGCGTGGGTTCGAATCCCATCCTCGTCGGTACGCTATATTTTTAAGATTTTCAAGAATTGGTAATTTAAAGACGAAAGAAAGCGGCTCTCACCCGGACGATCAGACTATACGATCACAATTCCTTTATCGCACTCCAAATCAAGGTGCTTTGGAAAATTCTCATTCTTCTTTGGAGAAGTGAATAGCTTTCAGTTTACTCTGGTAAATAATTTCTGAATCAATAATCATCTTAATTGAAAAACAAAATATTCAAAATTCATCTTTGATCAGAAGTGCGTCATTTAATGAGGCCAACTCCTGTAGTTTACCCTCATTGGGAAACGGCCGAGCTTCAGAGGTCTTAAAATTAACTCCGTGCTTCCATACAGCGACAGGGACAAAACTCCGTTTAACTTTTCTTAACTGTGCGTTACAATCTTCGAGGTCCATGTCAAATTCTTCAAAATGCAACACCGTAATGTCTGCTGCATGATTCACATTCAGCGATCCAATCGCATTGCCTCGTCTAAAGGCAATTGCGGGTGTCATGGTAACAGCTTTGATGACGTCATTCAAGGGCATTCCTACGTGCAGCATTTTTGTCATCACAGTCAATAAATCGTACGCAGGGCTCTCTACAGATTCTACGTGCAAATCGGAACTGATTATGTCTGGCCAGAAGCTCTCTCTTGCACAGATCTCTGCTACAGTCCATGAAAACGACCCAGCTCCATGGCCCACGTCAAAAAGAACCCCACGTTGGCGAGCTTTTAAAACATCACTGTAAATTTGTTTGTTTGGGCCAATGATGGTACTTGGCCAGCCATGAAAACAGTGTGTGTGAATATCTCCCGGACGAAGGCTTCCGGGGCATGAAATAATGTCTTTCCCTACACGTTTAAATTAAAATAATAGGAATTAATATATACTGAAACAGTGGATAACACTGAAGAAGCACTCTGTTTAACGGCTCAAACTCGATTACCTTTGTTATTCACCTCCGAACAACTCGGGTGGGATTAGCGCCCAAAAATATTTTAATCGTTGCAGGAATAAATGAGTTAAAATCGTCTTTTTGTGCTGTATTATCTCTCGAGTACATGCCAAAACGGATATTCACGCCGCTCGGTAAATATCTACCATTATGATCTATCAAGTATATTTGCTCGCGCGCGATTGGTCTAAACGCATCACGTGACCGAATATTCCCGACTTGAACCTGGGGGATTTTCGACGATATCACCCTAGTGGTATTCCCCAATTTTCAAACCTTACGTCCACTACGATAAGCCTTTGTTTAAAATTTGATTCAAGATGAGAGAGCGTTTCATGGTTGTTACAGAAGAGGGGGAAACATTTGTTTTTTTAATAACGTCGAACCAGAGGACACAAAAAAGGAAACATCCCATGCAGCAAACAGTAACCTGTTCTTAACCAGTTTTTTACGCGTGCGGCAAAATAATTGAGAGATAATGAACACAATAGCCTCTATTTTGCGCAAAAATATACTCTCAAATTTGTTAATGGACATTATTTGATCCTTGAGGCTAACAGTTTTCCTCGCGCTCCGCACTCGAAAAACTACTCGCATCTTAGAACAGGTAATGTCCGCGGACAAATATCTGTGCATATTTTCACGCCAAATAGAGATTAAGATTCCATTTCGGTGAATAGTTGTTAACGATCAACACAAGTATTTTCGTTTTATTTCTACGGCTAAATCTTAGTCAACTGACCATAAGAAAGTGAAAGTGACCCCTTCAACACAATTATAGGACTGTAACTCTAGCGATTGAAGTGCAATTTTCCTTGCAGCAAAATAAGACAAGAAGACAAAACAGTGTATCAGGTGCAGGGTGTCGCACCAAATTCTAGTGGCTAATGTGTAAGGAAATGCAAAGAAACTGGAACGGAGAAATACTACTATAAAAAACAAACAAACAAACAAACAAATAAGTTGTATTATTAAGTTGATCACGTGAGTCACGCAACTCACAAAGCTAAGGGTAGCCAGTCGTTTCGTACGTACGGACACTTCGTACTCCGTCAATAATTCATAACCAAATTCAGAAACTTCGAACCCAGTTTGTGTCTGTTCGTTAACAGTTGCCGAGTGTTCCCAACGGCATCATTTTTTTGCCAAACAAAGATGAGTTTCTTTTTCTTTTTTTTTGCAATGTTTTGATTAACCTGGAATTATTGGTGTACTTTATGACCTGGGAAGCAAAGGAAACTGGAATTTGTTCGCTGCTTCATGCCAATCATGTTTCATAAAATGTTTGTAAGTATATTGATGTATATCCTACCTTTTCTTTGAGTATCAATAGTGGAAAATGTGTGATGAGCCATGAGAGGAACATGGGTTTCTGATGATACTTTGAGAGCTCTCCTACAAAGACACAAAAATAGCTTTGGCTGAAGGGGCCCACCAGAGCTTATCTGGTATACTGCTTAACTAGAGGCCTTTGTTAAGCAGTAAGAGGCTAGCTAAGAGTAATTATGCTAAGGGACAGGTAATTACAAAACAAACCTACATTTTTTCTCAAGATTTTTGAGAATGAATACCTCTGTTTTCTGACAGCAGTAGCAGAATAAGGGGTAGGTTGCATCAATTAAAGTGTTCTGACAGTAAGAATTTGGTGATTTCACAAAATTATTTTACATTGGACAGCTAGGTGATAGCTCTAACACGCATATTCAGAGATGTAACGTTCCCTTAAGTAGCCATTGTCATCATAGTTTGCATAAGGTCCCTCTTAGCAACTAGGAGAAGTGCACTAGCTCTCCCTGCATGAAAGTTGTAAGTTCATGATCACATGTTACACCTTAAGTTTATCAGATTACCCTAACAGTTGTATGGTACTAATTTACACTCTTTGGTGGGCTAAGCTACATGAAGGCAATCAGTGAGAGCTAATTATCTTGAACAACAAAACAACACAAAGTATGACCCAGGTAAAGGGTCTTACCAGAATTCTCAGTTAAAATTTTTTAACTCAAATCAGGTCATGATGTGTTAGTAATTATGGATCTCTGTATACAAATGAAAAGTCAATTTGGAAATGAGCTCAATTGTAAGGTCTCATTTCTAATTAAAAAATAGAAAAAAAACATACCTGAAAGCTTCCTCTTCATTAGCTCCATCATTTGCAGCACTTGCTGAAAGACGAACTTTTACACCAACAATCATATCTTTGTTTTTGCTCACACATTCTGCACACAATTCTGCATCCACTTGATTTAATGAATCACACTCACCCCCTTTTGCTAAGACAAAAAATAACATATTATAAATAGAAGATAAATAGTGACATCTAGAAATGTTATATTTAAAATTTTAACTCACACTCACCCCCTTTTGCAAAGACAAAAAATAACAGATATAAAAGGTAAATAGTGAGATTCAAAAAAGTGTTTTTTAAAATTTTAACTCAATTGCAAACATTATGGCACAAAGCTTAATTAAATTTTACAGAAAAGGTGTTATAATAATATGGTTTGGTTTGAAAGGTTTTGACTGTGACTAAATTGACTACGACTACCACTTGAACATCTTCACCTGAAATTGTGCTTGCTGAGAAATGCATAATTTGGAGCAGTGTTACTATTTTATATGCTAATTCAGCATACTTTTCAATAACATGTGAAATTATGACTATGAAGTCAAAAGAAAAAATTTGAATTTTTTTGTTCCTGCTGCCAATTTAAAATAATTGAATGAAGGAAATTGGACTGAAAACTGTTCAGTTACAACTCCAGATCAAAACCTTTGGAGCCGGCAGTAAACCTTTGTATTATAAGTTTTTGCAAGGTTGGTAACACAATTAATACTAGCCTTAACTCCAAATCCACACAAGTTTGTAGTAACCAATAACTTTAACATTAAATTGTAAATCTAACTGTTACCTTAATCCTAAACTTTATAGCCACTTGTATTCAAACCCTCTTAAAAATTCATGAGACCTTAGTATGTATTGATAGCCCTAAACATAGCTTCTTTTGTATATAAAGATCTGACAAAGTTTTAATTAATAACGTGTTTCATACCTTGACCAGTACATCCTGCAGATGCCAAACCATGAGCTGCTATATGGAGTAGAGCCAAAACTGTGGTCTGGGACTTTTCTGCAATGAATTTTCGAAGGCCAGGAAAGGTTGAGGCTCCTGTGAAAAAAAGAGGTTTCAATGTTGCATAGGTAAGCTTGACCCCACAAGTGACAAAAGTATTTTTGAGGCTTAGAAAAAAAGTCTAAAGCAGTTTAAGAAGATCCCATGGCTTTGACATGCATATGTGTAATTTTTGCAAGTAAATATGAGTGGCCAGTCTTATGCATATTAACAGACATCAGAAGCACCGTTTTTGCTTATCTTTTCATTTGTTCTATTTGTGGGAACTCAAGGCCTAAAATATATTGTTTAAAAACTGGTTTTTTTTTTTCAATTCTGTTCAGTTAGGGCCTAATGCCATTAATTTCCTTCATTTTAACTTGTTGACTAACAGATGATAGTGAGTGGTATTCACATAGAAAAACTTACAATATCACATACAATATCCAGCACTGAGAGCATGATGACTTCTTTTTCTTTTTGGTTTTATTTTTTCAAAATGACAATGATCACATACATATGATAAGGGTACAGACAGGTAACGAGTTACGGCTTGGTTAAACAATATTAAGATATATATTAACCACATTGAAGGTAACTGGACAACTACTTCATGTTAACCCATAATGACCCCCAAGAGTCAGACTAGAATCTAATTTCTCCTTAAATTATCACCCCTGAATCACTCATTACAAGGTCATGAGAATAAAGGAAATGGCCGCCACCTAAATAAACTCTTGATTGTTAAACAAATTCTCCTTGTCAGCACCTTATATAATATGCATACTAATGTTAGGGTGCAAGTGGTTGATAGATATAAAAGCAGATAAAAATTATTGCTAAAAATGATTTTGCTGCAGGGTTTTGCTATAGGTAGGGGAAGCTGCCTGAGGTTGAACAATCTTGTTTTTAGCGCTCACACATTCTGGCATTTTGACTGAAAATTTCTACTGGTAAATGAATTAAAAATGCACACGATACTTTAAAAAAAAGTTGTGTATGATCAGATTCACAAAACCTGAAATGCTTTACATCAGAACACTAGTATGCATATTCTCCATACATTTCTTTACACATCTCCAAAGGTACTGACAAGGAGAATTTGTTTAACAATCAACAGCTTCTTTACTTGATGATCATTTCCTTTGTTCTCGTGACCTTAATGTTCATTCAGGGGTGAAATTGTCTGAAGAAATTAGATGCCAATCACTCTTATGGATAAAACGATTGACAAAAATTTGTAAACTTTCATTATCATTCATTTTATTTACGATAGCTGAACTTCTCTTGTGGGGTAGAGTGGGAAATTCTGAACAGTCAATCAACATAAACAACAAAACTTTGTGGATGTACCTGCACTCCCAGCATCAACAACAGTTGTAACACCCCTGGCCAAACATGTCTCGTCCACATTAACACCCAAGGGCGTGGCATACTGATAAACATGCACATGGCTATCAATCAACCCAGGTGTTACAATATAGCCTGATGCGTCAAACTCCTCCAGCCCTGTTCCTTCAAGACCTCTAGCGACTGCGCAAATTCTTCCGCTTCTGACTCCAACATCTGCTATAAAGTCTCGCTCATTAGCTGGATCTATAACTCTACCATGACGAATAATCAAATCGAAGTGAGTACTTTCTGCCTCCGCCATTTGCTGGGTCGCATAGTAAGATTATTCTTAACCACGAATTGAGAGGTCCAGTTACCGAATCTTGATCTTCGCGCATAGATCTCTGGGATCGCGACGGATAATCAATGCAACTTGCTGAAATAATGTATTGTATTTTCGACGCCCAAAGAACGATTTTAGAGAGAGATCGTCAATTTTTCGTCTTTGTTTGTTTGTTTGTTTTTTTCAGAAATAGAATTAGGCAATGTTGATAAGAGGGAATTGTGAGTTCCTTTTTAGAATATCCATGAAAACTTTTATAAAAATATACCGATAAACTTCTCTTGTCGGGTCGTTCGCCTAATGACACTCTCAAAAGAAGTGGCGAGGTTTGAAATTGGATCAAATGTTAATTTTTCGATCTTACTTACGGAATAATTTCTTGCTGGAGCTTCTCAAAGCCTCAAAACTTTGTAGTGCCCTTGTGTCCTTGTTTTATTATTTTTTTTCTCTGAAATTATCACGTCACTTCAGTTCTCTGCGCCGAAATAGAAGGACTTCTGACTCTGAGCCCTTCGTTCTTCGCTGATATGCTTAAAATTGTCTTTGGAGGTTACTTCTTCAGCTTAATGAGTTTTTAGCTCATTTATTGTATTTATGTCTCTGCGGCTAGATTTTGCGCATGAAGCAGGAACTTGCTCTCTCGTGCAGTGTCACGCAGATTTGTCACGCAACGATCAGGTTTGAGGAAAAGACAAATGATTAACGGGGGTGGGTTTCTACAGAAACTGTGCTGCTGTCTCGGTGAGAGAGTATAACGAGATAATTTGGTTTTATGGACAGAGTTGATGATGTAAATTGGCGACCGTAAAAAGTTTCAAAGCTGACGTTTCAAGAGTTAGGCCTTCGTCAAAGCGAATAAAAGAACAGTTGTGCTGTGACTTTGCATGGTGTGCACTGCTCGCCTCCTCTTCTCGTTCGCTACACCTATTGTCAGAAATACTGAAAAATTCATTCGAACAGAATACGAAAACAATGAGACAAATTGGAATCTATTTGATTGACATGAAGAACGGATAAATAAAGTGAAGAAAATTAATTGTGGTCTGATTATCCGGTTGTGAGTAGTCATAAACACGACTTTTAATGACAATGACTGGCGTTTCAACAACCTGAGCTGAAGTAGTCAGCAGAGAAAAGTTTAGTAACTAGAATCGACAAAATTCCTCCCCAGGACTACGCTCAACCGAACAATCGGACTCCATGGTCGTGTATTACCCCTATGCTCATGAAAAGGGAATATTTAACTATATGCTCCTGTTAATAGCAAATTTACTATCCTAGTCGTGTTTTTTTTTAAATTTCTTTTTCTAAAATTACAGATAATGCTCTTCTTAGCAGCGTATTTATATAGACACGTAAAGTTTTGATAAGCACCTATCCAACAATTATAGCGAAAAAAAAAACACTTTTACTTAACTGCATGGATAAAAGATATAGTTTTGTACATTTTTCAGTTTCTGAATTTCCGGCTTTATGTTTCTATGCAATGCCTAAAAATTTCTTGAATTGTTTACCTTATCAGTAAACAACAGGTCTGGCAATATGCCTGGCACCTGTTTTTTTTTAATCAAATTGTTCGTCAGATTTCAGGTTAGAAGAACAGGATTTACCTAATTCCAAACATTCAAAATGTTTCAAGGTTTTTTTGCAATAAAAATCTACCCAGGGGAAATTCTAGTCACTCTCTTCGATATCTCTTCGATCTCCGCTTCGATATTCTAATGAAAAGTTTTCTTCTGGTTGGAAAAGAGTTCCTAAAGGTTTCAGCTTAGTAACGAACATATGCGTACATATCCGTACTGTTACGTGGGCACATTACGTTCAATAATTTTTGTTTACAATAGTTACAAAAGTCCCTTTCTTAAATCCACAAAATAGAACTAAATGGTCTTTCCTTCTGAGGTAACTGTAACTGTGGGGCAACACAGCAGTTTGCGGAATTCCTTTCGGAAATCGTTATTGTTGAAAGTGTAAATAAAGGGATTTATCGTCGAACTCAGAAAGCGGAAAAAGGTAACAAGCAATTCCGCAATTCGCGGACATGTTTCTGGTGAGAAGCGCTTCCAAAGTGCAAGTGCCCACAATGGAATCCAGCAACACAAAAACCCGGCGCCTACGTAGAGCAGCACTCGACTAATGTTTATTTCTTTCACCGTGCTTCTCCTTGCAGTGCTGTTGTTACTATTGGTCGAGTTCTGCAGCGATGGAACCACAATCTGTTGATGCTGACTGGTTTTGAAAAAGATCTTGTAATAGCTGAATGTACCGATACACAACGGTATAAAAAAAAGCACTCCGACCATGATGGTGTACTGAACGATTTGACTTGCAGCAGTTGGGTATGTAAAGGCACACACTGCGTAGCCAGGGATAAATCCAATGTTTAGCCAACCGGTGAGTCGCCCAATTAACAGGTAAAGGGCCAGAGATATCCACAGGCAACACACCCAGATCTTAGATCGGCAAGGAGAAAATATCTTGTTGTAACTGTTACCTTTAACAATTCGCATATAGCGGTTGAATGCTGTTAAACCCATGGTTGCCGGGGTCACGTAAGTAGCGAACGGGCCAATGAATCCTTGAAGCTGGCATAAGGCGAAGCCGAAATCAAATCTTCCAATGATTAGTGTAGCTGATGCCAAAGGCATTTCAATCATTGCGACCAATAGATCGCTGACAGCCAGAGCAATGATGTACACATTGGTGGTTGATCGAAGATTACGGTTTCTGTACACTGCTAAACAGACAAGAC